GCTGTTACCCACAGGTAATTAGGGGTGTGGCTGTTACCCACAGTTAATTAGGCTGTTACCCACAGTTAATCAAATATTATTAATATTTGGTGTCCTATTTTCATGCTGGGATATATTTGAGAGAAAATTAACAGCTGAAATGTGCAGTTTAAATAAGTATTCTTAGACTACAGGCCTGCACACAAGCACGTGCAACCGGATTGGCAAGACAACATGCCTCTCATTCATAACAATTTATCATCAGGTTTGCTGACGACACCACGACTGTTGGTCTGATAAGCACCGGCGACAAGCCAGCCTGCACAGAATGGTATGCAAACTGCAAGTGTGGTGCCAGGGAAACAAATTCCTCCTCACAATTAGCAAAACAGGAGATTCACGTTGATCTTAGAGGAGGGAACACGCTCCGATACAAGCCAATGGCGTTAAACGGAGTCTACTTTTAAATGCCTCTGCGTCGACATGAGCAGATGACATGTTATGAACCATTAACACCATGGATGTTGTCAAGACGGTGCCACCATGACTCTAGAATCTGACCTGTGGACAGATGGGTCCGGCGAACCCAGGTTCTCTCCAAATACTATTGTTGTACTAGTGAGAGCGTCCTGACTAGATCAAGATACTTAATATGACTGCAGAGCCATTCAGCATGAGATACAGAGGGCACATTAATGGGGGCATGACCCACAATCTGAAGAATGCCTGATGAAACCTGCAGAACTTTCACCCCCCCAGTGACGTGCTGTTAATTCGCATATAATAATTACACGATTTACAAATATACTGCAACTAATGACCGCTGCATAGCAAACATTCATCAGAAATCTTTTCATCTTATGAATGCACAATGCTTGTTCGGACTGAGATATGACTTGTGTTATTCTTGTTTGGTTCAACAGGTGTAGATTCTGATCTTCACATCGCATGTATCCACACGTGACCTGGGATTTAACAGACGCCAAGGCCTCAGAAAGAAAATAAGCCCTACAACGACCACATACTTTACGCTGGTTTTTGGCGCTTACGTCTTGATGAAAAATAGCCCATATAGCGTGTTGGCAGCATGAGGGTGGCATCGATATAGCTTTAGAGATTTGGTCACATCAAAACTCAGCAAACGTCAATACATGTCCAGCTGAAATAGTACATGTGTGCCACAACCTCTGATAAGATCAGGTAGCTAGTGACCATCAAGTATCTGGTGTCGCCTTAGATACGAGTGGCTGGCAACAGTAGATTATACAGGGCTGATTCGGATGCTGTAATACAATCACTACAACGGCTCGGCACATGAGATTTACTTGAACTTGAATTTGCATGTCCACTCTATTCCTTCTGTTTCTATGGGATCCGATCTGATCTGCAGTTCAATGGGTCTTAATGGAAGGGGCACTAGGGTGTGAGGGAACCTGACCGTATGTTCGGAGGAGCCGGAGTAGGCAGTGGGGGTGTTCTGGGTGCTGCTGGGGAGGACACTCCTCTTGGGGGAGTTGCTGTAGTCAGGTTGGGGGAGGATCATCGAGGACTCGTCAGTTTCTGTGTCCTGGTGGAGCAGGTTCACCACACTCTTACTGCGAGTAGGTGGACCGTCCATGCTATTGTGAGAAGAGGAGGGGGGGCAGGGGGCAGAAGGAGAAAGGAGAAATGGGAAAGGGAAAGACGGAGGGCAAAAGGAGAAAGGGAAGGACAGAGGGCAAAAGGAGAAAGGAGAAATGAGAAAGGGAAGGACGGAGGGCAAAAGGAGAAAGGGAAGGACAGAGGGCAAAAGGAGAAAGGAGAAATGAGAAAGGGAAGGACGGAGGGCAAAAGGAGAAAGGGAAGGACAGAGGGCAAAAGGAGAAAGGAGAAATGAGAAAGGGAAGGACGGAGGGCAAAAGGCGAAAGGGAAGGAAGGAGGCAAAAAGGAGGAAGGGAAGGACGGAGGGCAAAATGAGAAAGGGAAGGACGGAGGCAAAAAGGAAGGACAGAAATAGGGAAGGAAACAGGAAGTTGGGAGGGTAAAGAGGGAGAGATTAAAGATGATTTGCCAAATTAAAAGGTATTGGAGGATAATAGAAACACTATGAGTGTGCATGAGAAATAATTACCTGTAATTATTCACTATTGACTCTGATAACGCCCGGCAATAAGACGATGGAAACCATCCCCTCCTGATGAAGAGACGAGGAGAAAGCCATCTTTCTACATTCAAAATAACACACACAACACATTCTATCCTGAGAGTCTAACGTTTGTTAGCTCAGGAAGGACGATGTTTCTAAGTTAAACACCATAGCTTAGATTACTTGGATTACTTCGACCAGCTTACCAAAAGTTATGCTGACATTCTCCCTCCCTCCCTCCATTTCTAAGGTATTACGCATTATTAAGTCCTCTCACTGCCTAAAGTTTACTGACAAGAAACACCACCAATGTTATATTGCTGGTTTCAGACTGCATAATAGTGACAAGATTACCTGCTATAATCTACAGAATATGGCATCATATGGATGAAATACCACATCCGTCTCTCTCTCTCTAACTTACTTCCTGGTCTTCTCCAGTTCTCCGTCTCTCTCACTCTCTAACTTACTTCCTGGTCTTCTCCAGTTCTCCCTCCCTCTCACTCTCTAACTTACTTCCTGGTCTTCTCCAGTTCTCCCTCTCTCTAACTTACTTCCTGGTCTTCTCCTGTTCTCCCTCTCTCTCACTCTCTAACTTACTTCCTGGTCTTCTCCTGTTCTCCCTTTCTCTCACTCTCTAACTTACTTCCTGGTCTTCTCCTGTTCTCCCTCTCTCTCACTCTCTAACTTACTTCCTGGTCTTCTCCTGTTCTCCCTCTCTCTCACTCTCTAACTTACTTCCTGGTCTTCTCCTGTTCTCCCTCTCTCTCTCTCACTCACTAACTTACTTCCTGGTCTTCTCCAGTTCTCCGTAGAGCCACCCGTCCCTCTCGTCCGGTATGAGCAGAGTAATTATGTCTCCTTCATCAAAGCTGAGCAGGGTGGCGTTGTTCCCAGATGTGTGGGGGAAGATAGTCCGGACCCTGGGTCTCTTCACAATGTGGTTGAGTCCTGTTGACATAGAAACTGATCTGGGACCTAAACCACCACTCTCCTCAACTCCATTGTTGTACTTGTACTCTATAGAGAGAGAGAGAGTGGAAGAGAAGATAAGAGACAAGTGTTAAATGTACAGACATAGTTACAAACGCACGCACGCACACACACGCACACACACACGCACACACACAGTCTACCTGTGACTCCATCTGAGGCTTTTGTGGACGTTTCCTGGGAGAACATGTTGGCCAACGGGCTCGTCTGTGCCTTTAGAGGCGGGGCAGGGGGCGGGGCACTGCCGCGTCTCTGTGACGACGGGGAGGCCTGGGGGGTGATGGAGACCGGGGTGCGGATGCCCTCGATCATGGACATGACGCTCTCAGGCACGTTGGTGGCGTCGGAACACTTCTCTTGCCAGGTTGGCAACTTCCCCGACATGATGTCCCTGGCCTGAGAATGGAGGTCACGCAGGAGGTTATGGGAGCGAAGACACTTAAAATGGAGGTTATAGGAGTGAAGACACTCAAAATGGAGGTTATAAGAGTGAAGAAGCCTCCAATAGGCCACCAATAGGAACCCAGGACATGATCTAGTTCCTATTGGAGGAGTTGGTAGATCAGTGGTAGAGCACATGCTCTGTATGTATGATGTCCTGGGTTCCTATTGGAGGTGTTGGTATCACAGTGGTAGAGCAAATGCTCTGTATGACATAAAATCTCAAAACATTGTAAAAGTTATGCCATATATACTCCTGTATAAGAGACGGGTTGAAGGAATTCATTGTCAATTAGCCCTGAACTTTATACCTTGTCAATTAGCCCTGAGCTTTATACCTTGTCAATTAGCCCTGAGCTTTATACCTTGTCAATTAGCCCTGAGCTTTATACCTTGTCAATTAGCCCTGAGCTTTATACCTTGTCAATTAGCCCTGAGCTTTATACCTTATCATGAAAGGCAGCAATCTGATAGGAGAAGGTGCAGTGTTTGTCCACTAGGAAGCAGAACCTCCTCTTCTCCTCTAGCAGAGCCTCCTTGCAGCCGTCGGCGATGAACTTCTGCATGTCGATCTGCCCCGCCCTCAGCGTCTCCAGGCACTGCAACACAGACCAATCACACGCCGTCAGCTCAGATGCAGGAACCAATCGTATGTGATCATCTATATCTGTAATATATCCTGTACTAGTCTTCACACATTCTAGTTAGTGGTGCTGATCTGGGCATCCAGATACAATATGGCGAGTCCCATCCCTCTTGTGAAATAACTGTGCGAGGAATACAGAGTTTAATTCAGGTCAAATGTAGTGCACACATGCTCTAATCACGAGACAGCGATCAACTCAGACTGGTGTGGTAAGAAAACCATCCTACACTCCCCACAGTACACCACATACACACAAGGGACACACAAACAGCAAACGAACAAAACAAAATCAGTTTGTACTGTCTTCGTGGGGACACTGGTGGCCCAAATGTACACAAAGACCTGAAACACAGACTAACACGGACACCTTTCTCTCCATCTATTCATGAGTGCTTGTATGGCACGCCCAAAAGCCTTGTTTCCCAGAGCCTACTTCCATAGACTACATATTAAGAAATACGTGACAACACTGGCTTTTCCCGTATCATCAACATAACACAACGTAACCCTTTACCGCAACAGTGGTTTGTTTTGTGTGTGTGTGTGTGTGTGTGTGCGTGAGAGAGAGACAAAAAAGGTGTGTTTGTGTGTAACCACACTGGCATCGTTGTCCCTCCATGTTATGAGAAAAAGCCAAAGATAAGCATTTTTAAATATCACTTAGGGATCTAAAACCTGACCTGGATAAGTAAAATGTTTGTGTTTGTTTATGCATGAGAGAAGGAAAGGTGAGTTCAATTTTGTAAATTTTATTTAGCCTTTATTTAACCGGGTAGGCCGATTGAGAACAATTTCTCATTTGCAACGGCGACCTGGGGAGCAGCTGGGGTTTAAACCCAGGACGTCGTACTCACAAAGCATGCACACTACCAGCGAGCTATCAACTGCTCCAAAGTATGAGTATGTGTGTTTGTTTGTGAATTGTGTGTGTGTGTTTGTGTGTGTGTGTGTGTGCGCGTCTGCATGAAAGTAAATGTAACAGGTGGGAATTGTTTGTGTGTGTGTTGCGTGTGTGTGCGCGTCTGCATAAAAGTAAATGTAACAGGTGGGAATTGTTTGTGTGTATGCGTGCGTGTGTGTGTGTGTGTGTGCGCATGTGTGTGTGTCTGCATGAAAGTAAATGAGACAGGTGTGAATTGTAATAAACGCAACCAATGGCTCTTACCGTGCATCTGCTCAATGCTAAATAATGCTTGTTGCTATGGACACATATCGCTGTGTGGAAACGGGTAGGAGGGAATGAGAGGCAGAGAAAGAAAACGAGAGGCATTGTAAACAGGGAAATGGATGGACGGAGGCAGCAATAGAACGGGAGGAGAGAGAGAGCAAGAGGGAGTGGGAGAGAGAGAGAGAAAGAGTAGTGGGTCAGAAACATGACCAGTGTTATACTTGGAGGTCACAGGTCACAGGAAGTACTTGGTGAATCATCTACAGCTACGCCCCACAGCCAGACACTCAGAGATCAGAAATACGAGAGGAGCCGACGGACAATATATCACATAAAGACAGAAAAAGAGAGTTGTTGTATAACAGCGGAGTCAAATGTAATCTGAGAAGCAGATGTAATCTTTCAGACTGAGCCTGAGGGCAAAACTCTACTTATTCAGCCCGTGTGTCTCTGTGGCGTCTTGTAGTGGGACTCTAGTCCCTGTAAGTGATCAATACCAGGGTTCAAATAAACAACGTGTTAGTATAATGGTGCTTTGTGTTTATATGTTAATGTTAATGTAGATGTGGTCTCTCGACAAGAATAACCCACCACATAAGACGCCTGTGGGGATGTAAACACACACTCATTTGATGACTAACATTCATCCATATGGCGCTATATTTTATCCAGGCACAAAAAAACTATTGACAATAAACAGCCAACTGCAATTAAGGCCATTGTTCCCTCTCTCGTTCTCCACAGGTTTTTGTAGCTTCCTGTAACTGTACCTCCACCTGTAACTCTAACATAGCTCTACAGTGTGTGTGTGTGTGTGTGTGTGTGTGTATGTGTGTGTGGGGTGGGTCTTCATGTTTCACAATACTTGTGAGAACCAAACGAATCCCCAGATGTAAAGTAAAGCAGTACGTCACAGGTATCCACAACACAGCATAGTCTTAGAGATCAATATTATTGTCATGCCGTACGTGTTTCTGAAGTGCCTCAGATAATATCTCTCATAAGAGCACGTAGTGTATCTTGTTTTCTTTAGTTCATAACAGTATGCGTGCTAGACTAGGGCGAGTTCTATAATGTTCATTAATAGGAGGAGTTAAAGAGTACATGGACTTTTTACGTGATTGTTTTGGTACTTGTCCTCAGTTCTCAACTGACCAAGCGAAATAACAATAAAAATTATGTTATTATACTTTAAGTGATTTTACATTACCACAAAACTCCTCATATTTTTTCATAACTTCTCTAACTGTGGACTTTCTCGTCCTTAACACAGGAAGTGACATCATAAAGATTAAAAAGTCTTTCCCAGGTAGCATGTGCTCAACTGGAGCTTCAAGTGTATTTGCATCGAGTGTGTGGAGACAGAGGCGACAGGGAAAATTGAGGGGGAGGAGACTGTACATATGGAGGGGGAGGAGATTGTACAAATGGAGGGGGAGGAGACTGTACATATGGAGGGGGAGGAGATTGTACATATGGAGGGGGAGGAGATTGTACATATGGAGGGGGAGGAGACTGTACATACAACGATATTCCTATTGAGGAAACCTAACAGCGCACACACACACACTCCTGCATAGAGACTGCACACATTACCCATGGATAATGTTACACTGGGTATACTGTCTCGTATGTCAAATGAGTGTGTGTGCGTGTGTGTGTGTGTGTGTCTGACCTGCGTCTTTTACCTCACTCTCCTTGTTCTCATACTTGTTGGCGTTCTTGCCCTGGCTCTTCCTCCTTAGTTTCTTCAGATCGGACTGAGAACGTTCGAGGGAATCCTGCTTCAGTTTGTGCTCCGTCTGGTACCTCTTAAATGTAGCCTGAGAGAAACACACACGGACGCAGGCAGGCGTACAAACGAACACATTGATCCACTGTAGACATGTGTGCACAATGTGAATTGACAAAAGGGTATCGTTACATTTAATCAGAAATAAATGACATATTAGCATGTTACATTTTGGTTTTGATTGAGTAAATGGTAATTACATTTAAATGCTAAGTTTGATCTTGGACATGATTTATTTTTACTAATCAAAGCAGGACATTTCACAAAGTTATTAACTCTTCGGTTGACCAGGGCCATAATGTACATAAAGTACATAATGAAGGGAATGTAACCAGTATGTTCTTCACATTGTAGGTAACCGGTAGTCATTATCACAGTTACCAGGAAGTGAATGATGGTGGCATTCCCGAATTATTTCCATTGTTCAGAAAATAATAGTGCCCAGAGATATTTCACTGGGACGACTGTTTCCATTGAACGACATAATATGTTAACGCACACATGAATACGGAACTACTTACTGTCATGTATTTTACATCCATGTCGGTCTTCCTCTCCAATTCAGCAATTATCTCCCTGTGGAACCTCTTGAACTGTAGGTATGGGGAAAGCGAGATGAGGAGAGAACGAGAGAGACAATTATGACGGAGCGATGGGCGAGTGTTGGTGAAGAGAAAGTTACTTCTGCAAAGAAAAAAGCAAGTTAATTGACCACATTCGAAATTACAACCGAGCTGACAATACTCATTTGGGTAACCAATGGAGACCGCCTCTTCTCGTGGACGCTCCTTCATCACCTCACTTAAGAGGCTACCCTAAATCGGCACTTACAAACACAATTTAGAAAAGTGTGATTCAAAACAACCATACCCAAGTGTCACTGCACTCTGGAAAGTGGATATAACCATATATAAATCAACCATATTTGATCAATCTCATTTAAGTTTGTGTGGTTAATATATAATGCTCCATAATTAAATAAAAAGAGCAAAAACAATCTGACTGTAATTGAGGTGTAGGTGCTAGACTACGAGTCTGAGGACATATTAATTTGGCTCGCTCACTTTTGCCGTCCTAGACCATAAAAATGAAATAGGACCATGAGACACTTTGTCGTTTCTGTAGCAAAAGGGAAACATACTTTACTTCAAGTGAGTAGGCTATATAGTTTCATTTACCGAGAAACCGTTTATCCTCTGCAGCTCCTTGATCTGGACTAAGAGGAAATGGCATCAATGGTGTTCAACAGAATGAATGAGTCACACTTTCCACCTGGTCACATTGCCGCATAACCTCTTTCGTTCATATATATCCTCTGCAAATAATGTGAGTGAAACTGGAAGGCTGTCTCCTCACAAATATGTTGCTATTGTTCTGTTTTGAAGAACCCATACTGAGAAGAAAACTAAATCCGACTTCAGCCGGTTTTGTGATGTGGTATGAAAAGCGTATGAAAGCGACGGAAACAGTATCAGACAATAATAATCAATATAAAACCGTGGAAAACACATACAACAGTCCATGTGTTGTTTGAACACTATAAAGTCAAAGCAAACAACTCTGGGTCTTTTATTAAAAGTACCTGAGTATCAGAACGCAATGAGATTCGTCTGCACTGTTGTTTTTTACTTTTTACGCCAGTTTGTGTTCGCGTATGTGAACTTGAGTCTTCTCACGGGAACAGACAAGGTGCAATTCAAGGCTATCGATGAGTCAGAGAACCAACACGCAATGTAGAAATGCCCACAGATATCCTCCTTCGTCCTCATTAACCAGCATGAGGGGGAGCTCGTGCACTTATTACATCACTGGGGCCCGCTGGTGGCACAGGAACGTCTACCGACGGACAATTATAAACTCTCCAGAACCCACGTTCTGCCACAACCTCACAAACAACAACCCACTTAGATGCCGCTTCAGATCAGTACTGGGATTCTGTTTCGCCGCTCTCTTTCGTAGCCCCTGAATGTATGACAATGCTGCCTCCAGACATACGGCTAACAATAGAACGAACGGGTGTGTCGGAGAAGAGAGGTTAACAAAGTCGACAAGAGACTAAAGGCAACAAGTAAAAAGTAAGAAACTTAAAGGTTAATCCTTATGTGCCATGGTTAAAGCAACCATGCATGGCAGGTAGGGTATTCACATCTATATGGTATTCACATCTATAGGGTAATCACATCTATATGGTAATCACATCTATATGGTAATCACATCTATATGGTAATCACATCTATATGGTAATCACATCTATATGGTAATCACATCTATAGGGTAATCACATCTATAGGGTAATCACATCTATAGGGTAATCACATCTATATGGTAATCACATCTATAGGGTAATCACATCTATAGGATAATCACATCTATATGGTAATCACATCTATATGGTAATCACAGCTATAGGGTAATCACATCTATAGGATAATCACATCTATATGGTAATCACATCTATATGGTAATCACATCTATAGGGTAATCACATCTATATGGTAATCACATCTATAGGATAATCACATCTATATGGTATTCACATCTATATGGTAATCACAGCTATATGGTAATCACATCTATAGGGTAATCACATCTATATGGTAATCACATCTATAGGGTAATCACATCTATATGGTATTCACATCTATATGGTAATCACAGCTATATGGTAATCACATCTATAGGGTAATCACATCTATAGGGTAATCACATCTATAGGGTATTCACAGCTATATGGTATTCACATCTATATGGTAATCACATCTATAGGGTAATCACATCTATAGGGTAATCACATCTATAGGGTAATCACATCTATATGGTAATCACATCTATAGGGTAATCACATCTATAGGATAATCACATCTATATGGTAATCACATCTATATGGTAATCACAGCTATAGGGTAATCACATCTATAGGATAATCACATC